TGCTTGGTAATTTACAAAAGATCCTAATCTTGTACACTAGAATGGCATTTTCTTTGTTTACTTTTATTTGAAGTTATTTAAATTTATGAAATAACAATGCATGTTTTTGAATTACTAAACTAGGTAATTCCAAAGTAGTAATAATTTTCAATAATATGTACCAATGTACGTTAAAAATAAACTATTTAAAACCGCAAAACATTTCATCATAATACAATTAGTTGATTTTACCTTTTAGTTAGTGACTAACTAGCGGGCACATTAAAAAAGAGTAATACATATTTATGTCCTCGTTACATCATCTTCTATTTTAACATTTAAGACGATTTACATAAGATGGCTAAGCTGCAAATTTATTAGAGACGTCACAAACAATAACAACAATAAAATATAATTTTGTCAGAGTAGAAAAATGCATATATAATGGATAAATAAAATAAATCTAAAACATTAATGAACCGATTAATGCCAATAAAATATTCATTATTTTATTTTTGACAATGTGAGATTAACAATACTGCCGTCCTAAAAACAGATGACGTATCTAGTGAGCGCCAAGCGGAGAAAATGGGGTTTGAAGTTATTTCCTTCGCCCATAACTATTCAGAGACGGCTAATTATTATGTTTTTATTATTTTGGAAACATACAGCATTTCTGCTTGGTAAAAAGTTATTTTAGCTTGAAAAATATTAAAATCCGATTTTTTTTGTAGATACGGCATCTGTTTTTAGGTACAGTATATTTTTCTACTCACTAACGAAAATCTACAAATTAAAAAAAATTATTTTAGGTTATTAAGACAAAATAACTAATAATTTATGAACTTTACCAAATTATAAAATAAAATAACCCAGATTCAAACTCCGGCTATTCGCGTGGAAGGCAGATACTCTGTCTTCAGCTCCACCGCCACTTTTAGGATTTTAGTTTTACTACTCGTAATTAAACTAGTTTTATATAGTTATATTAAAATTTAATTTTTTTTTTCAAATAAAAATAAAAATGCTATTATTTTTCGATTCTAAACAAAAATAACTCATTTTAATGTATATTATTTAATCTCAATAACTAAAAAATATACTGACAATTAATTTGACAGAATTGTCACTTATTTAAAATTTTAAAAATAATAGTAGTTGGGGGGTGTCCAAAATATAAACTGTAATTGGTGGATTTCATTTTTTTACAGTGATTTCACTACCTAGAATGGACATGAAATATATTCGTTCAGTTGAACGCATACTTTTGTAGTCTGTGCGTAGATTAGCTAATATCCATAGAAAAAATATATTTTAGTTGAATATCGAAATAATAGTTAGTAATTTGATACGTAAAGAATGCTGTCAAAGTTAGGAGAAATTTTCGGAGTTTACGGGACAAGAGGATTTTTTTAATGACGTGCAGGGCCGCCGAGAGCCAGGGTGGGCCCGGGACATTTTTATTCAAAATCAATTCCTTTCTATATTACATTTCTAAATAAAAAAAACAGAATCTTTCTTAGTATCTAAAAAAAAGGTCCACTCCTTGTATTTTTCTTAAACCAGGTCCTCAGTGTTCTGGCGAACGTCTAGAAAAATAAAACGGTCTCAGCTAAGGCTGCCTGGCCCTCCTTGTGCCCGGGCCCCGGGAATTTGTCCCTCCTGTCCCCCCTCTCGTCGGGCCTGATGACATGTATATTTTAAAATTGCATAAGGCAACTTTATCGGCATTTTTCACACATTTCCTATATTAATTTACTGTCTATTATTTAGGGATTCAACAAAATTCACTACTTGAAACGTATGAATTATTTACAAAAAAAATCCTGATCAAAAGATTTAATTTTGTTAAAAATAAAATAAAATAAACACTTCATTTATACGTCGATCTAAATGAAATAATAGGATGCCATTTAAAACCTAAGACACAAATAGTTAAATCAAAAGTCAATCTTTATCTTTAATGAAAAATCCTTACTGGAAATGTAAGAAGATCAACATTAATATACTTTCGCATAGATTTTTGATACACTGATTCATTTTATCTAATTTTATTGCTTGTATGTTTTTTATCATAACATAACTGTAGTATGCACTAGATATCACATCACTTACAAATCTTTCATTTTATAGAAAATTAAGATTTACTTTTTGTAATTATTCGTGTTGTACTTTTAATGCGGTTTTAATCATTTATTATTAAAAACCTTTATTTGTAAAACTGATTATCCAGTTCCATAAAGCGGAAGTACTGAAGGGATCATATTACAAAACCAATCACATATTTAATTAATTTATCACTAGAAAAAGACCACTTTCCATCAGCTTTTAAACTTGCCACAGTAACTCCAATTTTCCAAAAAGAAAGAAAATTTATTGCTAATTACAGACCGATTTCAATAATTTCCAGCCTGGCTAAAGTATTAGAAAAAAATGATACACGAGATTAAACAAATTTTACCTATTATTGACAAAATATGTATAGCCAAGATGCTATAAAGGCGCTAATTGAAAAATGTATAATATTCCATGTCATCGATTACTGTCTTTATAGATTTGACAAAGGAAATCGACACTATAGACTATTCAATTTTATTAAATACCTATACTAGAAGTCATGGGTATAACAGTAACTCTAATATTCCAACAAGAAGAATGAACATTTACTGCAGATTAAAGACCGATTTAATTAATTTCCTGCCTGGTCACAGTATTCGAAAAATCATACCGAAGAGATTATACAAATTCTTAGACAAACTCACAATACGGGTTTAGGCAAAACGCTTGATAAGTTCATGCCATCGTTTGGTGTCTTCTTTATAGATTTAACAAAGGAATTCGACACTATAGACATAGACCATTCAATGTTATTAAATATACTAGAATATAGGAAGACATGGGTAGAAGAGGTACTGCACATTAACTTTTTAAAAGTTATTTAGCTGATGATATTCAAAGTGAAAATAGGCAATTATTTCAGTAATGTTAAAATCATTACTTGTGGGGTGCCCCAAGGGACAGTCTTTTGTCATTTAAGTTTCCTCTTCGTATTCTAGAAGCGGTTTTAGGCATTTTCAGATATCATCTTCGGTTTTGAAATATCATTCTATATAAACAACAATGGTATACTTTATCTTCATTTACTAAAAACATAATAGCCCAAGACCTCTGCAAATTTTTACCGTCATCTGATAACGAAATGAAATATACTCCAAAAGCATGGAAAAACATTGTGTGCCAATCCCAATCCTGAGCAAAGTGGCTTAAAAAAATTATTTTATATTAAAAAAATCACATAAGGCATGACAGCGCTAATTTTGTTTGCCCTTAAAGTTTTCCAGAAAATTGCATTCAAATATATCTTGATATATATCGTTAAAGGGAAATATTTTCTTCCTCTTAACATCGCACAAAAACATCTATCCACGATTAGTAGGTAAAAATCATTAAAAATATGAATCAATTTTTGCTGATTTAAAAATTTATTTGTATACCTATTGTTGTGATTCATTTTTACAGGTTGCCATAGAAACGACAAAAAAAACTACTATGATTATAGTTTAAAATAATTGTCTAACAAGAGTTTATAATAATTCATTCTTCTTCCTTTCATACATAAATATGGTTTAAAAGGTAGGTAAAAATATTAATAATTCAGGTTTAAAAGCAAGGTTTACAATGAATTAGGATTGTTATTTTCAGGGAAAACACAATTGTCGCTGTCATGTCTTATGTTATTACATGCCTTTGGAGCATATTTCATTTCGTTATCAGATGACGGTCGAAATATTCAGTGGGCTCTCATACTATAACATGAAGGGCCAAGTTAACATTTTAATTAGGTTACAGTTTGGATATTCTATAAACAATTTTGTAATTTTGCCTGTTTTGTTGCGACTAAAAAGAGTATATAATTATATAAGAATAAATATAGGTACGACTAATAAATAAATAAATAAATAGATAATTTTAGAAACAATTTAAGATAATTATTATCATAACCATCAATTATTATTAAAAGAAAGTTAATAATATATTATTTCAAGAAATCTAAAAAGTTAAAAAGCTGATTTCAAATCTGATGGAAATTCCTAGCTCGTAGATGTAGATATTGTAATTAGTTACGTGTTTTAACTATCAACTTAAATTTCTAGCAGCAAAACTGTTCAACAGAGTTCAAGGAACTATATTAAATGTTATAAAGGTTGCATTTAAATCTCTGTATTAAATTAACACTCTGCATATTTCGTTATTTTTCAAATATTTAGTTCAGTAATTTATTTTTTTTAATATTGACACTTAATTCAACATAATTTTTTTCATTGTTAGCTTTTTTTGGTCTTAAGTTTAAAATATGATATTTTTGTAACACTTTAAACTGAATTTTCGATATCACTCTGTATAGTGCAGAATTGTGCAATCGAAAAATACACACTGGAAAACATATTTTTTTAAGATGTATCAAAATCCTGCATTTAGTTTAAAATGTGATATTTTATAACAAATTGATAAATTTGCATGTATGCTTTTGAAATGAATTTTCTGTATCCCCTTGTATGATGTAATGGAAAAAATGCTTACTTTGACTCTCTCTATCATATTTAAAATTTCAAAATATTCTGTCGATTTGGAAAACCCATTAAAGAAATAAGATATTCTTTACTTATTTTCTTTAAAATTTAATTATTTGTTTCAGAATATTTACTTCCATCTACAGGTGTTACTTATTTCTTAATTTTTGTTTTTCCTTTAAAATTATTAACACTACTTTTCTTGAACAAAAAATTTATCAGGAAAAGTGACATAAGAAATGTGTTTTACAATAAAACATTTAAAAACTTCAATTGCATATTTAAATTGAATTTGACCATAATTTTCTAGAAAATTCTAATAAAAACAATTATTGACCAATAACAAACAGCGATCACAATTCTAGCCTACGCTTTAAATTCCTGTATCAATTAATTTCCAAACCTTATAACCTCTTAAATTAAATAATTGACGAAACTATAGATACTCACCGAAGAAATGCATATCCGCGTTTGAAGAAGGCCACGGAGTGCACAACAAAAACAATAAACTACGTCAGAATGGAACAACAGAACGAATTGTGGCCCAGTGAGATGCGAGAGTAGCGCAAAACAAAACACTTGTAGCAGAAGTGAGGAAAAATGATGGTAAAACAAAACTAACAAGTCGGTATGGTATAGCTGGGGGGACTGGGCCGGTACGTTGCCGATTATTAGCAATTATTTAATTCCGTAAAATAAATTAACTTTAAGAGGATGGTACTGGTTTTGAAACAGACTTACTGATTATTATTACTTAGTCCAATGAAGTTAAACTTCGAGAGAAAAAATGTTAACAGGACTTTGATAAGTGTAAATGGTAAAGAGGCTTGTAATAAATACATAAAAAATAAATACATAAAAAAATAAATGCAACCTCAGGTGGGGGGGTTAAAATAAAGTTTTAGGGGGTTGAAAAGGGGTGAAAAATGGTATTATCGCAACAACAAAAGTTGTAGGTCAAAATCTACCGCTTTTGTAGAGGTTACTTTTTAAAATAACTTCAAAATTTTCGATAAAAATGCAAAAGTTTATTAAAATTTTTGTAGGTAAAGGTTAAATCTATGCTCCTCTGGAGACATTTTTCAAAATTTCTAAAAAAAAAATTTTTTTACCCATTTTCTCAATTTTTTTTTTAAAAACACTAAATTGATTTTTGAAAAAGTGGTTCCAGAAGATCATAGATGTAACCTTTACCTACACGTACATATTTTTTCTTTTAAAAATAGTACAACATAAACTAAAAGTGAGGTACTACGAAACCCTTACATTGCAAGATTTTTCGTCTGGAAAGTGGCGCCTCTGTTAGATTTTTAAGAAATTAATATTTGTGAATGAAAACAATTTATGATATATTTTACAGATGTTTTACGAGGGATAAATAAATTTTACGTATTTGTACAACTTTACGTAAATCGTTTCTGTAATACTAAGATCGACATACAGAGTGGACCAATCTTGTGGAAAAGTTCGATATCTTCCTTGTTGAAAGAGATATTAAAAAAGTGTATCAGGAAAATTATGGACAGGTTTGAGGTTAACATTTTAAAATTATTGGGAGGTATACAGGGTGTTGCATAGCTCGTGTACAAACCAAACATGTTTTTTTTTAATGATAACTCCAGTACATTATTTTAGATTCTGTTTACCCATCTTTTTTCCATTCTTCTAATATATGGTTTGTCTATGTTATATAGGGTACTTTTCAAGGAATTGACATTTTTGTGAGAGAATCGAACATAATTCAACGTCCAGCAGCCAATTACACACTGTAGAAAAAAAATTTATAATATGATGTATTATACTTTTTTTAGTTATATTTTTATTATCTGTCTATTCGTACACAGGGAGACTCAATACTCAGACCCTTGATTTTCTTGTTTTATTTAAATGGGACATATTTATATCACGAGTAAAATCATCTGTCCCAAGCCTTTCATTTTTATTAAGCATTCCCTATACCTAAAGTTAATAATTATTGATATTTTTAACATTAAATGAAAATTATGGTTATTTCGATAAATTAAACTAGTTTTTCATAAAAAAAACTCTTTATCAACAGTCATAAATAATATGTGTGAATACAAAAACACTCAAAAACAAACAAAACAATTAAAAAATAATTATAAAAGTTCAAAGTGACCTCCCATGACATCAATACAGTTTTGTAATCGAATTTCGAATGAACTGACTCACATTTCTCAGCATTTGAACATCAATACTTTGAAATACATTTCTGATTCGAGTTTTCATGTCCTCTTTTGTCGTTGCAGACACATTATATACTTTGTTTTTTATTTAACCCCACAGAAAAAAATAAATTTTTGTCAAATCCGGTGATCGCGCTGGCCACCCTATCGGTCCTCCTCTTCCGATCCACCGTCTTGGAAAGTGATTATTTAAATAATTATGAGTTACTACAGTGTGATGGACTGGTGCACCATCGTGCAAAAACCACATTTTTTTGTTGGCGAATGTGAAGGAGAACATCTTCGAGTAACGTAGGCAAATGATTTTCAAGGAAATCCAAATATACTGCACTATTTACTCGTCCTTCAAAAAAGTGTGGCCCTATCACATAATCACCCACAATGCCACCCCAAACATTTAATGACCACCTCATTTGGGTGACTATAATGTGTGGGTTTGTTGTAGAATAATAGTGAAAATTATGCCTATTTAAATCTCCATTTTTATGAAAAGTCGACTCATCACCAAAGAGCACAAAATCAAAGAAATTTCTTTGTAGATTAATTTTTTGTTGGGACCATTCACAAAATATCACTCTATTTTCAAAATCCCGTTCAAGAAGTTCTTGATGTAACTGGATATGGAAAGGATGCATTTTATGTTTTGATAGGATTCTTTGAACAGTTCCGTAACTGACTTGTTGTCTTGAAATATTTCGTTTACTAATATGCGGATCATCATAAATACTCAACAATACTTTCATTTCATTCTCTTCCGTGATAGCAGTTTTTGTTACTTGTTTTTGCTCGTATGATACAGTACCAGTACGATTAAAACGGTCCATTAGTTTTTCAAACGCCTTTTTATTTGGTTTCCGGCGTATTTTTTATTTTTGATTTTTATAAGTTTTTTTTTTTTAAATTCGCTATCAAATTAAAAAGAGAAAAAATGGCATAGCCAATTTTCTTTGTAAAAGAGCTTTCAAACAAGGTGCCACAAGTAGTATCAGGGGTGAAAATATATTTTTTTAAATGACTGGGAAGCCCAACACAAAACTCAATGGACCTGTTTATGCGTTTTATCCAAATATTTTATCCTGCGGTTCTAGCGAATTAGTTTTAGTTAAAGTCCCCACCCTGTATACAAAAATAGAAATTCTAGTCAAAAAATAAAAAACCGTTGCTTTTATATTTTTTCCATACAATTGAACGGTGCAATCAGTTTTTTTTTAATTGTAACAAATTATATCAATAATTAAGGATTAATTCATTGTTGCCATTGTCATTTTTTGTTTTTATCCATTTTTGAGCATGTTTTTTAATCGTGACTATATTTTTTATTATTTTATCAAAAACTACCTACAGGTCAAACCGAAAAAAATGAGTACCTAAAAAACTTTGTACGATCATTTTTTACCGTAGAATTTCATTTTTTAAAAAGAGTGTTTTTGACCGAATAAATTAATATCCAGGAATGTTTAGGATTTTTTATTTTAATTTTTTTTTTGTTTATTTAAAACACACAAAGTTATAATTGTATCAATTTTCATCAAAATTGAATTATTTTTGAAAGAAGGAAAAATAAAAAAGGAAAAACAAAAATTCGAACGAACTTTTGCAGTTAAGAGAAATAAAATATCTGATTCCATGGGCCTACTATTTATTGTTTACACTTCGAATAAGATAACATCAACTTATCATGAAATTTTCAAATGCTTTTCTCTTGAAAATGGTGCGTTCTAGCGAGATGCAATAAAAGTAGCTTTATTATAAAGAAAACATTGGTTTTCCAAATTTTAAGGTCAAAAATGTTAAAAACTGTCAACAAAAAAACTTAGGGCAATTTTACCCTAAACTCCCTCTAATTGACCCACCTATAAAGATGATCAAAAACTGGCGGTTAGTCCATTAAATAGAGTGTAAAAAGGTAAGCATTTGTACCAAATTTCACTTAATTATCTTAAAGCATTTAGAAAATATTTACAAAAGTGTGTCATCAGGACTTCACTTTTAACACCCTGTTCTAGGAAAAGAAACGTTTTCGGACCTATGTTTACGTGAACTTTTACTCCTATTTTAGGATGTATATTACGCTGTTAAAATATGACCGTCTAATTTCGGGATATTGTTCAGGTAGATTATAAAGAGTAGAGGCCCCAATATTGTTCCCTGAAGTACACTACATGAGACTATTTGATCGATGCTGGTGATATTTTGTATTTTGGTTTTCTCATTAATTTATTGGATATACCTCTTATACCCATATCTTCAAGGGAATTTAATAAATGACAATGATTGACGGTGTCGAAAGCTTTAGCCAAGTCTAAAAAGATTCTTATTAATGGTTTTTTATTGTTAATTGAACAGTAAATTTTATTAGTTAGTTCCCTTATTGCGTCTTCTGTTGTACTTCCCTCCCTAAATCCATATTGTTTTTCGAGAATATAGAGATCTTTAGATTAGTGCAACAATAAGGCAGCTTTCTACAGAGACGTTTAGGAAAAAAAGATATTTCGTAAGAGAAAAACCAGCAAATCTTCATAGATTTAATATAGAATGGCGAGTAAATTATTTTTGGAAATTCCTTTTAAGATTTTTCAAGGTTTACAAAAAAATTCAAGGTTTTTCCACCCTAAGTTTTGTTATTATTGGTATTTCTTGAAAACTTCACAAAAATCGGACTGAAAATAAAGGCTCAGAAGGAATTATAAATTTTCAAGGTGTTCTGTTTGCTCTTTAATTATTTTTTTCTACACCCACATGTATATTGGCTTGTCTGCGCACAGACTACGAAACGAAAAAGTATGCTATTGCGTTCGCTTGTCTGCGCACAGTCTACGAAACGAAAAAGTATGCTATTGTGTTCAACTGAATGAATATATTTTATATCCATTCTAGGTAGTGAGAACACTGTAAAAAATAAAATCCACCAATCACAGTTCATATTTTGGACACCGAAATATTATAATTTTTAAAATTTTAAAGTGACAATTCTGTCAAACTAATTGTCAGTATATTTTTTTGATTACTGAGATTAAATATACATTAAAATGAGTTATTTTTGTGTAGAATCAATAAATAATATCATTTTTATTTTTATTTGGACCACATTTTTAAAAAATATTTAATTTGAATCAAACTATATGAAACACGATTATTAAATCTAAAATCCTAAATGTGGAGGTGGAGATGAGGATACGGAATTTTGCCTTCCACGTGAGAGGCCCGGGTTCGAATGTGGGCGGCAGTCTATTTTTTTTTTCATGTTTATTTTATTTTATAAATAATTAGTAAAAGTCATAAATAATTTTAAAATTATTTTATTTTAATAATTTAAAATAATATTTTAAATTTGTAGATTTTCGTT